GCCACCCCATCGAGCCTACCCCGCGCAGCCACCGCCCCCCCCCCCCCTTTCCACTCCAGACCCCCTCGTCCACAATCCCCAAACAACACACCCCCTTTCAGACGTGGCTCTGTGGTTCTCGGGCCACCGAAACGCAGACGATGCACTCTGGTTGTCGAAAACGATGACTATATAAAAAAAATAAAAAAATAAAAAATTACCCACACAACTGTGCGGACGACACACACACACACACACACACACACACACACACACACACACACACACACACACACACACACACACACCGTGCTCCTCGATAGAAGAATCCGTGAACTAAAAAAAATAAAAAAAATTAAGCCAACTACGGACACAATGACTGAACTTCAATCAACACACGATCGAACGGCCTACATCGGCGACCGACCACGGATGGCGGCAACGATCTCCATAAGCGCGTGGCACATCATCCTCTGCGTCTCATCGGACGCTGCATAGTGCGCTTTTTGGAATGCAACTTCCTGCTCAAGTATATCGTATTGCCTCGTGAATATGCTGCATTGCCGCTTGCTAGACGAATCGATCGTCGCCGACATCAGTTTGCCATGGCGATCCATGACATCAGCGAGCGACTCCAACACTTGTTGACGCGCATTCTTCCGCTTCCCGCCCCCAGCCCCACTGCCTGCGTTGTTGTCAGAGTCCCTCGCAGAAGAACGTCCTCGTCTAGCAGCCGTCACCACCGGCCTCACTACCAACAGACTCCTCACCAACTGCTCCTCGCCTGGGCAGCTGCACCCCGTCCGGACTGCTGGTGTCGACGACGTTGGGAGGGAAAATTGTATGGTTCCCCAGCATGCCTGCGTGGACCTCGTTGTACAGCACCCTCTGCATCTGGAACTTGAAGTTGTGCTCCTTCCTTTCTTCATTCGATAGCCTGAAGAAATCTGTTTGGCTGCTGGCATTCTGAAACCTCTGTATCTTCTTGTAGTTTTGGAAGAGATTGTCCCACTTCTTCAGGCAGTCGTCGACGTCTTTAGGCCTCCCCGCGTTCGCCATACGCTTCGCAATGTCATCCCACTTCCACTCCTTGGTTCGCATCCGCTCGTAATTGTGACCCAGCCCGACGAGGTGCATCTCTTGCTCCCGCTTGCATCTCACCAGGAGCATTTGCTCTTCCGGCGACCAGTACGTCGCAGACTTCCCGCCGTCGTCGCTGACGCCACCTCTGCCGCCACGGCCAACGGATAGACCACGAACAACACCTCTGCTGCATCCTTTCCCCCTCCCGCCCGTCTTCCCCAAAGGCCGAATAGGAATGTCGCCATCGTCGTCCCCTGCTTCCACGTCCTCCCTCAATCCTTCGTCGGCATGGTCACCGCCATCGCCGTCGTTGTTGCCGCCATCGCTTTGTGCCCGCATGTTCGACACTCCTCGTGTGATGTTCTCCACAGTGGGTCCTGGATGGCACCGGTGGCATGCGGGCGCCCTCGTCCCTCTGGTCGGGATGGGCTAGCATTGTGCGGTTGGGCATCGAAGGACGTGCACCGCCAATGTGCAGGGACCCAGGTGCGACTCCAGTGCGCACGGGCCAGGTACTTGTCAATCGATCGGCGGACGGTGCAGTCGATCCATGCTGCCGGGCTGCTGCCGATGGCCCGACGCCGCTAGTAACGGACGCACCGCCACGAAGTGTGGACTGCTCCGTATGCTTACTTCCAGCATGTTGAAGGCCACGTGGCGAAGGATCAGCGTTGATGATGAACGTACGGCTCGCCTCCCTAGCGCCGCCAGAACACAACCCGAACCTGAGATCAAGTCCTCCGTTGTCGTCGTCTCCCAAGCCTTGGTGCAGGAGTGAGGTGAACTCGCCGCCTTCGTTGCTAGCCGACCCGCCTGCTCGCACCGTCTGCGACAACGATTGCGTCGACCTGCTGGCGAGAGGCAACGTTGGAAGTTCTTCCGTCTCCGGCTCCTCGTCCGGCGGGGGCAGTGACGTCCTCCACGACTCTAGATGGGTGTACATGGATGGGTCGTACCGCCGTTGCAGGTCGTCTTCCGCCCTGACCTGCAGCCAGAACCGCACGTGCCTGCATGCCGGCCATTGGACGTTCCCCTCCCTGCCATTTCGTTGACCCCCTCCGCTTGCGACGTTGCTTCCATGGCCGGCAGTGCCGGCACGACGGACACACGTGGGGGAAGACGACAAACAGGAAGACGACCACAGCAAGCACCAGCAGAGGCAATCTCCTGTGCATGTCTGCCATCAATTGAATCGCAGGCAAACACCCTTCCACGCGACTACTGCAGAAGTATTTCCTGGCATGCCGGTGGATAGGACCGCTGGAGTAGACGACAAAGGTGCCTGCCTGCGATTCAAAAATCGACCGTTACCGCCCGCGCACTGCCGGAAGCGCCTCCGTATGCCGTCCCGCGCACGTCGTCGTCGTCCTCCGCTACCCGCAACCGAGCCAACGGTCCACTACGGACGCCCGTCCGCCCATGCTCGGCCCCCCGCGCTCCACCCCGTCAGCCAACGGCTACCGTTGGTGGCCGTTGCCGGCGTTGACCCGCAGAAAATCTCCGATGTCCTACCACCCACCCGACGGACCGCTCGTGGACCAGCAACCCCGTGTCGACGGGGCCATGCGCGCCACGCAACGAGTCCGTGAAACGCGGGAATCCTAAATTTTTCAGTAGGTCGGGGGCTACTGGAAAATTTAGGACGATTTTGCCTGGGGAGTCCTAAATCCTTTAGGACTTGTCCTAACGCCATTTTCACATTTTCGATCTCGAAATTGGATTTAGGATTGCGTGCAACGAAGACGCAATCCTAAAAACAGGTACTTTTAGGAGTGTCTAACGAGACCCTAAGTGGATTTCAGCACCAGATACGTGATTCTAAAAAATCAAGGGTTAACAGCAAAAATATTGCTGTTTCAAAGTTTGGCAGCAAAAATGTCGTCCGTTCGAAGTTTCCTTTGCAAAAATAGAGGTTTCGTTGCAGCTTTATCGCGTTCCCATAGTTTGCCAGCAAAAATACCGCGTTTTGCCCAGTTTCACGGCAAAAGACCCCTAGGCCTCTGGCCTCAGGGACTCAGGGACTCAGCATTCTGGCCTGAGGCACTCAGCGTTGTTTTTTTCTTCTTTTTTTTTTCCGGGGCATGGCCGACGCATCTGGGCATGCCCACCGCCGAGATGCCTCGGCCACGGCC